AGAGAGTTTTACCCTTCGTTTTCCTCAGTTGGCACATGACCCGAATAACCGACATGCGCCAGCTGACATGAAGGCAAAGCGAGGATAGAAAGCCAAACCGGCTGGGATTGCGTGTCCAAGTCACTTGTATTGATACAGTTCGCCCCTCACGCACCGTCAGGGACATGGTCTGCGTTTGCAGTTTTATTGCGTGGATGTAAGCGGTTGGGGGTTTGTAACCGTAGAATGGCAATCTCAGTCGGTGCTAGTGGTGTTGCGCAGGTACCGTTTTTAACTCAAGCAGTTGCCTCAGAAATAGGTGGAAGACGGTATTTAGTTGACCCAATTGTGAAAAAACTCGCGGCATTCGGTGGGATCTGAACCCGCATAGTAGGGAAGGTCGTTACGCGAAGCCAATGCTCTCCCGGTTGAGCTACAAATGCCACGCCTAGCACCGTGAGTTTAATCATACCTGGATTGATTTTACCCGCTCAACTTTACCGCTCTTATGGAATGCACCAACACGGAACAGCAAGCTGACTGCCCAAGCAGGATTTCCCGAGCAATCATCTCGAATCCACCAGAATGACTACTAGGCTGACTTAATTATTTAAGAGGTTGGGCGGATTTGCTTAATTTAGTTGACCCGATTGTGAAAATCTGGCGTATCTGCCAAACTTCCTAAATAATTAAGTCAGCTTAGTAGGCATTCTGGTGGATTCTAGATGATTGCTTAGGAAATCTTGCTTGTGCAGTTAACTTGCTGTTGCATAATGGTGGATTCCATACGAACGGTAGATTAAGGCGGGTAAAATCGATCCAAGAGTGATTAAACTCACGGCTTTAGGCGTGGCATTTGTAGCTCAACTGGGAGAGCATCGGCTTCGCGTAAAGACCTTCCCTACTATGTGGGTTCAAATCCCGCCGAATGCCGCGATTTTTTTTCACAATTGGGTCAATTAAATTAAGCAAATCTGCCAAACCTCCTAAATAAAGAAGACAGTATTGCTTCTGTCGAGAGTGTCTTAATGCGCGGCCCTGGTTTACGCTTGAGCTTGGGTGTCAGGGTGTTAGTTCATGGTACATTATGGTCGTTATCACAGCTTAGTGAGATAGAGAGCATGGATAAACCAGTGACTGTTCATACAACAGAATATTCCATAGGAGTCAGTAGCAATTGTTTTGTAGCAGTCGTGTCAGTTTTATTAGCAGTGGTAAAAGTAGGTGGGCCATATACACTAATAATTACAGCACAGGTGGACCTGCTAAATATTCCATGAAACGCAAACAGTCTCATGCTAAAACCACAACCCAACATTAACTCTAATCCTAAACTTAATACTAATTTTGACCCTAACGCTAACACCAATATGTGGAACTTAGCGCAAGCTCCCCGAACACATTTTTCGGCGATTTGTATTCTCGTGTCTTATCTGTGTTAGTAATAGTGGTGGCAAAAAAGGTTCTGTAAGGACAGCGTTACTGCCAGCATTACGCGTCTAAAGCAGTCGGAACTAAGTCGCAGTAACAATGACATACAGCCCATATGACCGATGGAAGAGAGCCACTAACGGATAACATTTTGAGTAATGTGATGTCATTCGGGCCTAGGATGTGCTCAATCCGACTCCAACTGCCCTATCTTGATCATATGATAGGAGAGGGAGAACTGATTGAGATTGACAAGCGTAGGCCATCCTCACATGTATCCAACAGGTTCTCAGTTGAATTATTAGGATTCGTTAACTGCAACTTTTAGCCTATAAACGCGCAGTAAGTCCTATAGGCAGACGGCAAGGGTATGATTAAGTCTGCTTATGATTACACTCACTGCATTCCCTGTATATTTGAGCACTCGAGTGCTTTAGTCCAAATTATAATGGTATGGGTAACAGACACGGCGACCACAGCAGGTCCACCACTACCTTATGAGGTGAGCACTGCAGCACTGACTTGCGTGTGAACGCGCTTATAGTGAGGTGTACGTCTCTTCCGGCTACCTCACTCAATCTAGTCCTATCAACCCGACAGTTCGAGCGTCTATTCGGCTGAAGTCTACTTTGGGATCTACATCTTGGTTGTGCAGGTACGGTGACTTGTACTTAGACTAATTTTAAGTGAGAGTAGACGTACTCTGCAGCTGTCACACTTTTCGTGC